CCTCCTCTCCCTGTATTCTCTCCGCAGATTTTGTCCCTATTGATCTGGAAGAGTGGTGGGCAGAACGATTCCTGGCAAACATCGAGAACTGTGCCTGAAGGACAGAGATTTCCCCAGACCTCCCTTTCTTTATTTAAAGGGGGAGAACATGCGCAAGACTGCCTCTGCCGGTGACATGCCGTTCACAGATAGACTGCGGCCCGCTCTCCGTAGCGGACCACCACAAGCTGGACACCCCCACGCCGTGAAGACTCGATGCTGACGAGATGCCGTCTCTACAGCTGTTCCTTTTATGAGGATTTAGAAGTCTCAACCTTGGTTGGAAAAAACAAAGCAAAAAAAAAACAACCCACAGAGGGCCTTGTTTAGAACGGTGCTCGAAAGGAAAATGTATTTGTTGCCTGTAGCAACCAGACTCCTTTTTCAAGTGCGGGTCTAAACAGGAAAGGAGGAGTCCGATTGGCTGCTATGGGCAACATCCATGAGACTAGGTACTGGGAGTTCTCTAGGCCTTAGCAAGCTGGTTGGGAAGATTATTGTTCAGAAATGGCATAACAAAGTGTTGGGTTTGATTAAGTGAACAAGTATAGACGTAGATGAACCTGGCAGGATAGACGAATGGGAGCTGACTTGTGTTTAAAGATGCCAGTTCCGGGGCACTCGTCTCACCTGAGGTTCATAGTGCAAGTCCAGCCAAAACATATTTAATAGTGGAGATGGATTTGGACCCCTGTTGGGTTATTGCTGCTATGAAGGGTTCTATTAGGGGAGATCTCCCTTCACTTCCTGTCAGCGACACTTTCCCCAGGCACGGAATGAGGGAAAATCTCCAACCGAAATTAAACAGCTGGAACCCCAGTCAACTCTTTATTCTATCCCTGCTGGAGATTTCCCACCACTTCCCCTTTGGTTAAGCATTGTGAGCAGGAAGGAAGGGGAAGTCTCTCCAATGGAGCCCAGGATTACAGCAAAAAAAAAACCCAATGAGTTCTGATCCTGTATCCAGAACTAGGGAAAAAAAAAAAAGTGTTGGCTGAAAATACACATTGTGGTTGATTTAGTCCTCATTCACACGAGAAACGGCTGTCACATACAGCTCTGTGCACTGTCGTATCGGGCAGCTCCCGGGAAGGACAGGGGCTGCGTATGACTAGTACGCAGCCCCTGTCCTTCTCTATGGGAGTACGTGGCTGTACGCCGCCCTATGCTCACTCCCAAGTGCAGGTCTGTACGTGTGTGGGGGTCCCGGCTTGGCCACAGACAGCATCCATCCAGGGTGGGTGAGCGTAGGGCGGTGTACGGCTGCGCAGTCCCATAGAGAAGGACGGGGGCTGCGTACTAATCACACGCATCACCTGTCCTTCCCGGGAGCTGCCGATACGGCTGTGCAGGGAACTGTACGTGCTGGCCGTTTCTCGTATGAATGAGGCCTTAAAGGATTTGCTGGGCCGTTCACCCTGCAAATATCTGAGAATGTTCATCGTGTGCCTATATAAGAACATATATTTGAAAGGTCTGGTTGTAATATCGTGTATTGGCCACTAGATGGCACAGGTGAGCATACAATAATAATTTTCTGTGCTCCATTAGGTGCCATCCAGTGACCATAATGTAAAACTCCAGCCAGAAGATTGCAATTTCATTCCATGTGTAATTGTGCTAAAGAAGCAAAGGAAGTATTTTCTATGTGATCGCCATCTAGTGACTATAATGTGATATTACAACCAGGACGGTCACATTTACTTACACTTGGAAAGGAAAAAGCTAGTTCAGTTTACATACACCTGCACAGGACAAATGTTCACTGATATTCGCATGATGAATGGCCCAGCAAATTCTTTATAAATCAACCCTTTTTAACCTGAGCCCCAGAACAAGCATGCAGCCAGGGAAGGGCCGGGACACATGACTTGCATTCTTCTTTTGGGTCAATGAATCGTTCACTAGTGATGACAAGATCAAAATGACCTTTAAAAAAATAATAGCTGCCATATTTCTATGATAAAAGGTTCCCTTTAAAGGAGGCCTGTCATGAGAGAAATCTGTAGGCTGCCATTGCTGAGGTCGCCTGCAAAAGCTGGATGCCTGGCTGTCATGCTGATGTATTGACTTCAAGTCATTGATCTGGAACATACATATCTATCAGGTGGTTCTGATTTGTGACTCTCATTGGCTGCATGCTTGCTTTAGGTGTACTGAAGCCAGGACCAGCCAGGCAACTAGAATTTTCAGGGCAATGGCAGCCTACATGTTTCTCTCATGACAGGTGAGCTTTAATACACTACAGGTGGGGCGAGTCACAGATACAAAGCATGATGATGTTCAGTGCCTGCAGCACATGGTGCATTGGTGATATAAATGTGACTGAAGGCCTGCTCTAGCCTCTAATTGGGGCTATTCATTGATGTAGTGCATATAGTGCTGCTTCTGTTTCTGGTAGTCACAGTAAAGTGGACCTGTCACTTTGCCCACCATAGCTCACACCATCCCTGCAAATCGGGTACCACAAGGTTTGCCTAGTTTCAGAGCTCTACCGTGTGCCGGTCCTTTTGAGGGAATCCATGTACTGGCCACTGAGGTGTCCGTGTAAGATATATGAATGGTGGGAAGCATGGCAGAGCTCAAGTTAAAGGTTGAGCAATCCAGGAAGGGTGTGCAGGGTTTGGGGCTCCCAAAGAATTGAAGGGATTAGACTTGGCGCTGCCTGTTCAGCTGGCATGGGGAGCAAAGCAACAGGTTCACTTTAAGCAATGTCTACCAGTCACTCTGTGCTACTTGGCACATTATTATTGCATTGCATTATTGAATAGACCTGCATGGTGCCGGTTGTGTCTGCATCATCATGGTGCCAGGTCTATGTCATGAGCTGTGAATGTGTCACGTTCAGGAATGGTCTCCCTCACTCCTCGTCCTCCATTTTCTTTTTTTTGTATGCAAGGGATCTGTACAGAGTGGGAAATGTCTATTTTTCTAAATAAAATTCTTTTGTCTGGTATATAGTTTATTTAAAAAAAAAAATCTCAGCACGTACACCCCAGCACTATGACAGGCGTGTGTTTGGATAATCATAGCCAGTTCCGGGGTTTATTCTCTTGGGAATGGGATTGAACGACTTGCTGGCAGACACCAGAGTTACAGAGATTTAGCAGCTTGATCGTGCAACTAAATAGCGAGTAATGAATCATTAGGAGCAACAAGTGATCAATAAACAGATGGAGCAAATGGCTCCCTACAGAGTAAGCTGCTTACAGATTGTGTTCAGTTCCACTTTAAGCAAAAAGTGACAATTCATGTGTTAGGGAACATCTAGAAATATGAATTGTGTGTAAGCAGTACCCAGAAAAATATACCTTGGGTCTAGAATTCCTCCTACAAGACAGCATTGTACTTCGTGGTATGTGAGGTGCCTAGGCACTCCTGTGCTTACATCCTCAGCTGTATATCTGCAGTGTGAGATCTAAGGCACTGCTGCCTCTGAATGAGTCTCTGGAGATTTGGTGATGTCATTGCTCTGTGGCTCACCGTTCTCGTTGCTGGAGGCTCTGATATGAGGAAGCAAAGCCCTGCCTCTAGCAAGATGGCGCCTCTACACAGTGCGGAGCAAGGCATGGTAAGCAAGTAATGGAGGGGAAGGATCAGTAAGCCCACAGACAATACTGGTGACCGGTCCTTTTGTTCTCTGCCTTTTTTTGGGCCCGGCTTCGGTTCAGTTCCTGTTTAATACTAGCACACGTGAGCCACTAAAAATGTCTGGTGTAACCGTAGTCTAGCGAGATGACTATCAGCAAATGGTTAAATAAGAATGCCAAGCAAATTACAAAGGAACCCTAACAGTGGGAGTACCCCAGCACTGCAAGGGTTAACATTTTAGGGTCTCAACCGTACAAGAAATACTCACCCGATCCTCGGTCCTGTCTGGCTGTTATTATACCGGTCCTTGCAGCTTCTTCTTCCCTGGGCACCGGCAGTCTAAGGCTCTGTTCACACCTAGGCGTATCGAATATGCGCGTCAAAAACACCGCAAAGAAGCTCATGTACCTTTTCAGGCGTAGGCCGTTTTGTAGCGCGTTCAGACGGGCTGAAATACGGCAAGGTGTGAACCATACCCATAGAAAACAATGGGATTTCATGTTTGAGCGTTTTGTAGAGCGTTGAACGCGCTACAAAACGTACAGGTGTGAACCGGGCCTAACGGTGCCCATACACTGCACGATTCTCGTACGAGAATCGCGGAAAATCCCACGATCGTACAGTGTATGGAAGGCGTGCGACCGTTTCTAATGTACGGTCGGCCGACTTGTATATCGAGCATGTTGGAAAACCAGCCAAGAATCGTACGATTTTCGGCTGGTTTTTAGCATGATCGAGAGATCACTGCCGAACGGGCCGGTGTGCGCACGCACACACTGCCCGTTCAGCATTGCAGTCATCGGAAGCCCGCCCCTCAGGGGGCGTGGCTTGCGTTCATCGCAAGTACGATCTGCCTTTCCAAGATGGGAAGATCGTACGTTTAAAAAAAAAAGTACTTTACAACCCTCCCCCCAAAAGTCTTGCGAGGGTAGTAAAGTTTATGGGCACCTTAAGTAGCAGTAGGCCCACTGCAAGGGTTAATTTGCCTGGAGTTCCTCTAAAAGCCCATTCACACCAGGGCATCTGCGTATCAGCGCGGTTTCCGCATGGATTTTAAAATGGAGGTTTTGGAAGTTTTTAATTGGGTTTCAGCGATGATGAAAAATGCACAAAACCGCACTGATCAGCGCAGCAAAAAAGGGTCAGGGAGCAGTTCAGGCAGGGGGCGGTTCGGATCATGCTGAGCCGCGCGGTGGCATGAAGGTCCCCATAGCAATGTATGGGATCGTTTACGGCGGCCGAACTGCCCCGGGCATAAATCTCCCAGTAGCAAGAGATTAAATCGTCCTGTAGTTTGGCCCTCACCAGATGAATCAGTTGTAATGACCGGAGTTATTATAAACACTGACTCTCTCTTCTTCTACTACGAGGAGATAAAACACATGGACAGATGTGACCTGAGAACACGAGATAAACTAATACTGGTGCCAGTGCCTTGAAATGCTCAATGGCTTCTCACAGGAGACAAAGACTCCACCCAACATTGTGTTCTCTTATCCAGAATATAAATCTAACATACTGGTGTAGGTTACTCCATATTCAGCCATTTGTTCCATCCAAACTAGAAAAAAATGGCGTCGCTTGTGTTGTGATCAGTGATCTGTTTTCTTCTACTGGATTTCATTGAGGTCGTTCTGATCCCATCTC